CTCCACAGCTCATTCTCTCCAGGCAATGATCTTTTAACATCGAACCTGTTGCTTTTATGCATACATACCTGAGCTGCATTTGCTGATCTTCTCTGTCTCATGAGTCTCGTCTGAACAGATAAAATACTGTGTAACTGCAGTTTGTAGTTCATGAATAGTCACATAAATTTTTCTTTTCGTTTTCTGTGTGATCGAGCAGCAAAAAAGCAAAAAAGTTTTATACCTTTCTCATTATTCGGACCTACTTTCTCAAAGAGTTCTTAAAGAATACTTGTTTTAAAAAGAAGTTTTTTGTAAATTCTATGGTTTTCTACTGCCACATTTTAGAAAACTTCGACATACATTTATTGGGTCTGCCATATTTTTGAAGACCCGTAGTAAACCCTTACCTTAGGTAAGCTGACCCCCTCGAAAATGATAAGTTAAACCTATGACCGCCCACCTTACCATTTTTCATGGTGGCAAGGCTGAACAGTCAGAAGACCGTCCAGTCAGCCATGGTCATTTCAAGTACTGCCAGGAAGTTGAAGTAAGCTGTGGGTTGAGCTTGTTTAAAAGCGGGGATTAAGACAAAATCCCTTAAGTTGCTTATGAATAACTAGCGTTACACTTCGGCTCACGTTCTTTTGTCGTACAAGCGCAAAACTGCAAAATGCTGGGGCCCAAAGAGGCGAGGATCGATAAAAGCGATGGCGAATAACACATTGAAACAGGTTTGTCTATTTGCAAAGTTAAACTGCTTAGAACGGGAATTCGTTTGATTCATTCTATCTATGTCCTCTTCCACATTGGTCGACCGCCTCAGTGTGGCGCGGGGGTGACACCGTGTCGAAGTGCAATGTACATCCGAGAGTATACTGTCAGGGTCTCCAAAGAGCTGTGAAGCAGTTCGATGCTTCCGGTTTTGGCAGCATGCTTAACTAACTAGAGTCAGACTTCCACAGCCCTCTGGCTTTTCTGATGGCTGGGCGGTTCTCACTCCTCACCAGAGCCAATGATCGCCCCATGGAAATCAAGACCAAGGCCTAGTAAGTTCGCTCTTGTAGTAGGGAAGATATTTCAATATTATCCAACAAGAAAAAGAAAAGAAACTGCCCATTGGATCTCGCATACGGCTCTGGGTGGTAACCATTACGATGTCAGGATCTTCGGGGCGCCGTTGGGATCGGACAAAAAACGACTTGTCTAGAACGACACGCCTCGGAAATGCTCTGCACCTGCCAGGACAGTCTCCACAAACGCCAAACTCCACGTGCTCGACGCCGCATAGCATATCATGTGCTACATCATCGCTTTTGTCGAAGACCAGGAAGAAGGACATGCGACATGAGTGATGGGCTCATCATTCGTGGTGAGAAAATACCATCATGAAACGCGAAGGCGTTGGTTTGTCGTCCACCCATCTATCGTCCTTCTTGTCGATTCATATGAAATCCTGTCAACTGCATTCTACATATCCTTCACGTCTGAAGACTGTCAGCGTTATTAGCTGCCACTCGCCAACGTCACATTTAAAGAATTAGAGTTGAATGCTTCCCATGGAGACGTGGAGGAGGTCGTCCCTAACGAGTGGGCGACTTCAATGCGAAAAATCGGGATGCCGTTAGAAAAGGAACATCGGGAAGACTGGGTATGAGCTCCGGAACGAAAACGATAACAAGTGCCTAACGGTACGACCCATGATCATCGATTCCTTTGAAAGTACGATTCAGTCGAAGGCTGGAAAAGAAGATCTGTCATAAAGTCGCGAGAAGGAAGGAGGTCGTTCATGACAAAGACATGCTGGAGAAACCCATATCAAGTTGTGGCTGGCCCTAGAGGAAGATCAAACAAACGACTACGACCGATTTTTGAAAGAATAACGAGCTTGTGAAAAGTGCTCCTCAGCGCTTAAAGGCAGTGGGTCGGCAGAATGAGACCCGTGGCAAAACAAGGTTGTAGGGTAGGAGCCCCATAATGGAACCTATGGGCCAAAGTTCGGTCTTTCTCTGCCACTTCTAACCCCCGAAATTTCAAAGCGAAAGCAGCGCTCATCTCCTCTCCTCTCCGACCCCGCCCAACCCATGGAAGAGTGAACGCGAAGCCCGTCATGGCGAAGACGCAGAGTCGTTGCGGGACCTCATGCTTATAATTGCGGCTGCGCGCTACCGTGGAAGTCACTCGTCCATGGGGTAGGCGGGTTCGGAGAGGACAGGAGATGTGCGCTGCTTTCGTTTTGAAATTTCGGGGTTTAGAAGTGGCAGAGAAAGACCGAACTTTGGCCCATAGGTTCCATTATGGGGGCTCCTACCCTGTGACCTTGTTTTGCCACGGGTCTGATTCTGCCGACCCACTTCCTTTAAGAGAAAGACTCTGAACGTATTCTGAAGACGCCAATGAGTTCTCCAAAGGAGAAGATCTTTGAAGCAAGATCCGAGTGCAACTCATCTCGAGCGACAGATACCAAACGCCAGTTGCGGAACAGTCTCGCAGGATGGATCTTAGGAAGTACAGGCAAGCCAATATACTGTAGGCCCTAAGGAAGACCAAGCTTTGAGAACTGCCGAAGGGATTTCTGAGAATATCCCGCACGGCTGGCAGAATCATCGAACGAAGACGAAACCCTATCTTTCCAACCAAAGAAAAATCCTGCCAAAACTTCTGGAAAACTTGCAGAAAACTTCTGCAACAAATTCTTAGGCTCAAGAACATAACAGCGCCCTTTGTTACTGATTCTGCACTGCGATACACTACGTATTAGGTTGGCTAATAAATAAGTTCGGTCGCTTTTTCAGCTCTTGCAAATGCTGTAGACAAATTTTCGTCCAATGTTTGGTATCTCTGAAAAGAGCACTTCACTGGGTATTGGAGCATATATTCTGTTTGAGTATAACATATCTTCCCAGGAAAAAAGTCCGCAAAGAAGTGAAAAATCGCAATTTTCTCATAATGCGCAAATATGAGGAAATTTAGTTTTCTTAGTGAAACATTTTCAAAATGGCAGATCACAGTTCTTTTTGTTGTTTACTAAATAGAGATAACTACTCTATATCCAAATACCAAACTGCTGTTCTTTACATTCATTATAGCATAAAAACGAAGCTTAAGAAGTCAAAGAATTGAGCTTTTGGAAATTTCGCCATGTTGAGGCATAACTGTCTTTACTGACTATAGAAAATCCTGATTATGTGAAATGTGATAGAGGAAGCTTCGATCTACTTTCCCACAAAGAATCATAGATTGAAGACAACAAGAAACTTTTTTATGGCAATTTGTATGCCAAAACGAACTTACTTTTTAGCCAACCTAATACTTCACGGCTCCAAGACCAGGTCATCATTCAATTTCTGCGCCGGAGGACAGCTTCTACAGAGATTTTAGCATTGCATCTGGCATTGTACCTTCAAAAGGAAAGGGTTCCCGACCAGTGGAGAACATCAAGAACGTCCTTCTCTTCAAGAAGGGCGAACGGGAGGATCTTCGGAACTACCGTCCAATATGCCTGCTGAGTGTGCTCTACAAGCTTTTCACGAAGATTATCCTCTCTCGCATATCTAGGACACTAGATGAAGCCCAACCCCAAGTACAAGCTGGATTTGCATGGGATTCACCTGCATGAACCACACGTTTCGAGGGTCATAGAGGTCCGCCGGGAATACCGACTGCCTCTCGTCCTAACCTTCGTCGACTACGAGAAAGCCTTCGACAGCGTCGAAACCAACGCCATCCTGTCAGCGCTAGTCGATCAAGGAGTAGACCCAGCCTATGTGAGGACACTAGCCAACTGCTACAAGGACTGCATAACGACGATACAGCTGTGCCGTTGCCCTCTGACCATCTCAATTGGGAAGGAGGTTCGACAAGGCGACCCAATTCGACGAAGCTGTTCATCGCGGCCTTGCAGTGATAAGTCATTGGACTGGGACGAGAAGGGCATACAAGTTGATGAAAGATTGTGGATCATTCGTTTTGCGGACGACATCTACTTTTTCGAAAAGTATCAGTCAAGCAGTGACGCTGCTGAAGGGACTGAACTGAACAGGGAAGAAGATCGGATTGCGATAAATCGGAAGAAGACTCAGTTCATGAAGAACGCCCTTTGCGAAGGTGTAAAAAAAGAATGAAAGACACCCCTCTCATGGAGACGTCTTCTCATGTGTACCTCAGACGTTCGATGAACATGGAGAACGGCTTGAGAGAAGGATAGGAGAAGAAGAGAAGCCTGGGCCGCCTTCGGGCCTCTGAAGGAAGCCACCGACCAACTGACGGACCCGGAGCTTCGTGCCCACCTGTTCAACTCAATCGTTCTCCCGGCGCTCTCTTACGCAGCTGAGACTTAGGCCAACACTGTAGCCACGTCAAAAGCTCTACGGACCACCTACAGAGCGCTTGAGCGCAGTCTTTTGAAAATGAGCCGACACAAACAACACCTTGTCGGACTCCGCAGTACGGATTTAAGAAGAATCTCCCGCCTTCGTGACTCAGCGGAATAGATTGCGAAAGCGAAACATTGATGGGCCGGTCACATCATGAGAAGAACAGACGACAGATGCACACTAAGAACATCAAAATGGATTCCTCGCAAAGCAAGATGTTTTTGAGGAAAATCACCAACGAGATGGACAGAGCACGACGTCCTCGAGGAAAACCAACGAGATGGACAGACTTTTTTGAAGGATAGGCTGAAAAATCGGGTTGATACGAATTCTGCCCTGGCGCTAATCCTAAAAAGCCTCCTCCAAATAAGACGTGCGCCTGAAGACCATCCATATTTTCAAGATGGACCAGAAAATGTGGATGGTCTTCAGGTGCATGGATGGTTTTGCACAGTCCTTGGATGGCCTAGAATATGTCACGGAACGTATGATTTAGCATGATCCTTCAGACCGATAACGCGTCATTGTCACAATGTCCTAAACTGTACATATGTCCAAAATGGGAACGCGAAGCTGAGGTTGCTTTGAACTAAAGTCTTCGTTATTGCTTGTCAGAGTGCCCATTATTGCAAGTCACACACAGGCTCAGCACTCACCAATAATTGCATGATATAACAAATAACTAGAGTGGTTACTTACCTTACCCAATTTAATCACTTTTTCCATTATAGTTCTCTGAAAAAGAGTAACATGGATAATAGAAGCAAGAAAGGTTTTACAATCTCACTTTTTCAGCAGCAGCAGTAGTTGCCACGGTTGTTGTATCATTGGTTTCCTGAAAGGTCTTGTGCAAGGAATGTTTCAACGCTTTTTCCTAACCGGAAGAACGTCGATATTGGTGCCAATATCAACAATTTCGTTGAGATGAGGGTCAAACTGAACAGTTTGAATAGTTCTCCCTTCTGCATCTCCCTCAGCATGTACCTGTAGTGATGAAATGTCGGTAGATAAAATTTTTAGAAAGCTACTATCTCTAGAACTTTGCTTTACTAATGAACCGTACACAAAAATACTCCTATGTTGGTGACATTTCTTATTAAACAGAAAGAAACTTGGGTTTGCATCCTGTGCTCTTGAATCTTATAGACTAGGTTGACCTATATAATTATCGTTGCCCGGTGTACGTTGAACAGAGCATTTGCAGACATCTGAACGCGTTGATGAGACTTGTCAAACCTCCAGTGCAAAGTATGACTCTTTGTATGTACTTTCTAAACTCTCACGTATCGTCTGCGCCCCAGAGAGGTTCCCATAGGTACCACGTCATCTCGCTGCCTTTCGCACTTTTGAACGTGTTAACCTCGGACATTTCCGTTGAAATCTTAGGAGAAACGTGTCAAAAAGAGCGAAAGGCAGCGTCGCACCACGTACGCACGCTAGTTCACATGGGAACCTCTCTGGGGTGCAGACGGTATATATGCTGTTGTCATACGTGGAAGAGTGGTAGCGTGGGATTCCAAAGAACAATGTGCCCTGCAGTAGAGGGCTAACAAGTTCACCAACGTGTTCAGATGTCTGCAAATGCTCCGCCCAACGTACACCGGGGAGGCGACGACACAAAAGACTGGATTGCGTTTGTATAAACTACATTATCCTAAAACTCTTTCAACTATTAGGCAGTTGATATCTTCCTGAAAAGTGGAATGTGGTTTACTACCTAGGGGAAATTATTCCGATTTGCATTCGAACAATTTCTAGTGCAAATAAAGAAAATATGCGTAGTCATCACTTGTTCCGCATGATCCATGCATAGGAGTGAAATTTTTATTAGAATAGCATTTCAGCATCTACTCTTGCCGGCGATTTGTCATCTTTGAAAACATTTTTTGGCATCGAGTACTAGCGCAGTTGTGGTCGATGCCCATTGGCAGGGTCGAGCAAGAAGTGTGACATACAAGTGCCGGATACGACCCCCCCTCCCCCACATCTTCTGTCTCAACACTCCCCCCCCCCCCCCCCCCCAACGATGTCAAATAACCCCCATGGGCCAGTTTTCAGCAAATTTTGAGGGTTTTCAATATTGGGCCACTCAAGCAAAGCAATCATTTTCAAGCATGATTAACTATATTTTTCAAAAGTAAATTAGTTAACTCTTTTTGTACTCGATACAAAACACTACTTTCTATTTACCCATATCATGAACCCTGTTTCAAATAACCATCAAACTATGGAATTAGAAGCAAGCCAACATCTTGTTTGCCCCATTTTTCGCTTCCAGTGGCTGCGCTTTTATCAGATTTTGCTCAGAGCTTAGAAGATGAATCAGGCTCAAATCAGTCGCATGTAAATCACGAGACTCAGGCTATCAAACTATTTGTGTTTTGTTCCCTAAAATTTTTTTGGAGGCGAGTTACCGCGGTGTGACACAACCCCTAGAAAGCTGTCGCCGCCACAGCTTTTGAGGTTGTGCCACACCTTATTAAATCACCTAGCTTTCAAATCTCTGTCTTTTTTATGTGATTGCTACTGCTAAACCTTCTTCCCCACGCAGTAGGAATTTTATTTAAAATTGGTTCTCTTAGGGAAAGATATAGTTGTTTTTCCTTAGCTAAACATGGAAGTTACTGCAAAAATATTGGATTACTGTAATAAGCTAAGTCTGCGCTACTACGTAAATCGCGAGGGAAGACGGCAAGAACAAGTATCTTTGATTCAACTGGTTTAGCTCCGTCAGGGCAGGCCGCTCGCGCCCGCGACGCACCTGCGTCTCTCGCGCGCGAGTGCTCTCTGATCATTACCTAGCCTTAATTAGGTCACGAAGCCCGCCTTTGCCGAAGCTCAGCCAGTTGAATTAATTGTATATTCGATAGCCTATCCTCGTAACTCACAAAAGTGATATGACCTTGATTGGTCTTCTCTAGTCTGAGAAATGCGAAAAATGGGACAAACGAGATTTTGGCTTACTCTTGATTCCAGAGTTTGGAAGTTTAGTTGCAGGAGGGAAGTGAAAAAAAGAAGTAGTACTTTGTAATAAGCGCAAAAAGAAATAGTTAATTCAACTTTGAAAGAAAGCATGTTCGAAAATGACGGGCTCACTTGAGTGTCTCAATATTTGAGAACCTCAATCGGTAAAACTTCGACCACAGGGAGTTATTTAACATGATAATTTCGAAAATGATGCTCTTATGCTTTTAGCCCTTGTAATACGCTCACTGTGCGCGTACAACGATTAGTGCTGGCATGTTTCACAATGGCTCTGCCAGGCATTGTTGACTGACATCACGTCGTTAACATCATCATCACCTCGGTAACGACCCCCCCTCTTCCTGTCCCCTCTACGACCCCCCAGGTGTGGCGTGCCACACACCACGCTTGACCTTGCCTATTGGCGTTCTTACTGTAGAAATGGAGTTAGATGAGGTGACAGAGAATAAACACACTTTGCGATGAATCACATGACGTTGAGCAAAGATTTGATACGTACCACAGGACCATGTAATTTTGCATCAAGAACAAGAGCCCCTCCGTGCGTGAATTTTGTTGCATTTAGGTCCGCACATTCCATTTTACGAGGTGTTTTTGCCTGAAATAATAGACATATCCATTAACTTGCACTTATTACATGCAAGATAGTTGGCAAACCATAACAAACTTCTTTGCGACTTCTGCAATACACAATCATCAGAAACCGTCCTATTACACTATATCACCCTTACGTTGTTCTTTTTTCTTTCTTTTCCGCAGAATTATCACTACCAGAATCACGCTAATTGCAATGACGCAAGCAAGCATGATTGCGACAATCCCAATGATAATCACTACTACGCTGGAAGTATGGTTGTATGAGGATACGTTGAGCTGTACGTGATGTGTACCACATATCACCCTAATTTCACGCGTATAGGACGCAGGGGTTTTTTTTTTCAAACGAACAGCACAGACATGCCGAAGGACGTCGCGATCAAACACTTACATTGCTGCATTTTGCCTGAGAATCGTGCGGCATAAGTCTCGTTTTCCGAAACACGAGGCGTCTGCGGCGCTTGAAAAATCGAAAAGGTGCGTATTATACGCGTGAAATTAGGGTAGAACAATGTTGAGCTGCGAAAGTTTGAGCCCAGTTGGGCTAACTTTGGATTCGAAGTTTTTGCTTAGAATGTGCAGCACATGAGATTCCAATATGTGACCATGCATATTTCGCAGTGAGGTATTCATTCAATCACTGCTTCGTCATGTCTAACATATTACAAGATGTTAGTCGCTCATTTCAGGGTCTCTCAAAACTAATGATAGATATACTTCGAAGCGATGTAAAAAATGAAACTAAAACAAGAGCCAACTACTTGATAGAGGCCCTCCAAAGAATTATCGCTTGCTTGTGATTTGCCTTCAGCAAACATGCGACGAAGTAGTCGGAAACAGGAGTCATCTTTGATCATCTCACCGCTGCTAATTTTTTTGTCTCAATTGCTCTTTCTTCTTTGAGGATGTTGTAGCAGGTTCTGAGTATATGTACTGTTGAAGTTTTTATCTGCATTTTTTCCAGAATCGCGATCCCGAGGTATTTCTTGAAATAGTGACATATCGCACTATGAACCAAATGTGTGCTTTTGGTTCCATCAATAGATTTGCAGACTAGAAGTTATCCTGATTTGTGACACTTCTTCGATAAAATCGTCTCGGAACTTTATGGATTGGTTTTAATTACCCAGGTTTAAGGTGTGTTCACACATATCGATTGAGATTGAAAGAAGTCTAGTTAAACGAAAGTTAAGGCTCGTCCCCTTACTATTTTTCTTAACCATACGATCTTCCCTCACTACTGACGACTTCCGGGGAAAATCGTACTTTTATCCTTTTTCGTCTAGCGGAGGACTGAAACGGAATTGGATACTTTTTAGTTATGTTCTTTCTCATTTGTTTTATTTTTCTTATTATTTTCTTTGTACACTTTTGGTGTTTGAGACGGCTCCGACTCCGACTAAGGGTTTCATCTCCTCGCAGATACACAAATCAGCCTCACCATAATAACAAAGCCCTATGTTAAGCCAGCCTTCTACTTCTCTTTATCGACCCACTACGAATAGAAGACCAAAGCCACACGTAAAGATTCTATCGCTGTGGAATGTGATAGAAGAAGCGGATCTCCTTCTTACTGAAGGATCTTTCGCTTATTCCAACTGCAGAAATGAGGATCTACCTGGCTGTCAGTTGCTGACCATTTTTAAAATGTCAGGCCCAGAGGTGCGATAGGTGGAGCCGGGCCCCCCAAAAGTGAAGGTGGTTCCAGCTACCACTGACCGGCCAAAAGTGAAGGTGGTAGTGCCGGACACTCACTCAGATAATCGCCGGGGGCAGGCGGTCCGCAAACTCGCGCTTTTCTGCAGGCGGTCAGCAGAATTTTGGGGCGTGGCCAAACCTTCAGCGGGCGGTACTTCCGCGTTCTGCCAGCGGGCAGCAATGCAGAATTTTCTGCGAGCGCTCGTCAAATAATATCTTCCAGCGAGCGCTGGCCAAACTTTCAGCAAGCGCTCGGACTCTTTTTAGGTATTTTCGGGAGTACGTCGAGCAGGTAAGACTCTGTGTGGCAGAGGTGTTATCGTTGGTTTAATTACTCAAGTTTGAGGTACTTTCTCTCAGCGGAAAGTACCTGGGGGTTGCGCGGTCCTCCACAAAGGACCGTGTGGCCCTCGAAATTTTTGCATATTCTCGCGGAAAGTCCGCGAGAATGCGGCCACTGCGCCGCAGCTAATCCATAAAGAAACCGCGATTGTTCTTCAAGCATTCGTCTGTAATTTCGCCAACTTTCTTCCAAATTTCTACAAGCGGGCCACAACAAATCAGCGAACTATTTTTCCGGTGCGCGCTTGCTCAAAATTCGCATGGCCGCCTGCCCCCGGCGATTATCTGAGCACCTCCCAAAAACGTCGACGGGGGGGGGGGTAACGTCGACTGAGCCTATCCTTCCAGGTCGTTGCCGCCAGTGCGCGGAATATAAGCAAAACAAACGCAAAAAAGATCATTGAAGGCATATTTTTAGGAACACGGCGGCATATTTATTTAAAATAAACGTGTTTAGTAAATGGTGTATTTGGAAGTAAAAGATAGCGGGACTGTACGGATTTTATTAAGTAAATTTTGTCATAACGTACTACAAACAAAGTAGGTCGATCCAGGGAATAACCGCCGAGAACCAGAATTTTGAATAATAAAATAACGATAAATTATGCGAAATTTCCATTTTCATAAATCTTGCGGTTGAAAATGTCAGCAATTGCGACTTCATAGGTTTTGAAGGGCAAATGCTGTTCTACCAGAGAGTGAAAGAATTAGGTCGATCTGAGCAGTGGCCGCCGAGAACGAGAATTTTGAAAAATCAAGCGATTTTAGGTTGCTTAGTGACAGCTGACGTTTAAACTCCTACAAATCTGGAATGTGAAGGTTTGCGATGTTGCGACTTCATAGGTTTTGTAGAGCAAGAATTTCTCTATCGGAGTATATCTTAGCCGTACCGATCCATTCAGATACCGCCGAGATCCAGGGTCTTGAAAAAGCAGGTAAAAATCCGCTTTTTGAACTTCAACAGCTCATAACTTCTTCAGAATTGCACGAATCATGTTGCGACTTCATAGGTTAGATTCTTCTCATCAAGAGCTTTCAGATGGTATATAATATGTGGGGGGTTCAAAGATTTTTGCGGCTCTAACCCAGGGTGGAGACTTTTCACCCCAAAGTCTCCACTGGCGGTCTCCGGCCAATACAAGGGCGAGGTGGAGACTTTGGGGTGAAAAGTCTCCACCCTGGGTTAGAGCCGCAAAAATCTTTGAACCCTCCACATATTATATACCATCTGAAAGCTCTTGATGAGAAGAATCTAACCTATGAAGTCGCAACATGATTCGTGCAATTCTGAAGAAGTTATGAGCTGTTGAAGTTCAAAAAGCGGATTTTTACCTGCTTTTTCAAGACCCTGGATCTCGGCGGTATCTGAATGGATCGGTACGGCTAAGATATACTCCGATAGAGAAATTCTTGCTCTACAAAACCTATGAAGTCGCAACATCGCAAACCTTCACATTCCAGATTTGTAGGAGTTTAAACGTCAGCTGTCACTAAGCAACTAAAATCGCTTAATTTTTCAAAATTCTCGTTCTCGGCGGCCACTGCTCAAATCGACTCGATTCTTTCACTATCTGGTAGAACAACACTTGTTCTTCAAAAACTATAAAGCCGCAATTGCTGACATCTTCAACTACCAGATATATGACAGTGGAAATTTCGCACGATTTTTTGCTATTTTATCATTTGAAATTCTGGTTCTCGGCTGCCTACTGCCTGGATCGACCTACTACATAGATATATGCTCGTAATACTTTCTTTTACATTCCTTTTGCTTATTTTCCTTCTTTTAAGCTTTAGCGAAAAAATTTTCAAACCCAAAAGTGAAGGTGGTCACCCGGTATCAGCTCAAAAGTGAAGGTAGGCGGAGACTCGGCTCCGACTATCGCACCTCTGGTCAGGCCGTGGGCTTTGGGAATATAAGAGGAAGGACAAAAGAGATGGTGATGTATGATGACTCTTCTCAAATTTTCGATCGCACTTTTTTTCCGTATTCAACTACTTGAGCTCCTGTTAAAGCCTTCATATCTGCTGTCTATTTCCGAACTTTTTTAAAGCAATTCTGGTCGTTCGAAAGTTATTCACAAGAGCTCTTGTTAAGATAGTACCCTCAAGATAGAGATTATAGCGTTTTGGTATATGGGTGTCAGAAGGTAAGATTATTATAATTATTAAGCATTGAGTTAATGCAAATAATAATGGCCGTTTTGCGAATTCTCGCTTTGACGTGCTAAACTTTTTGAAAAATCCACATTTCTGAATGCTACAAAGATCATTAAAAGCAGCAACCTTTCGAAATACAGAGCACATTTATATGTACTCACATTACTAACGGACAGAAAAATATGAATTGGAAAACAAAAAGGTTCTCTCTAAAACATTGTTTCTGACAATTCATAAGTTCCTTAAAAGTTTGTTATTATGAATGACCAATGCGTTACTTCCGCTTCGCAGAGGTTCGCACTGGCCCTACTATCTATTCCTCTTCATTCTCGCATGATGCTCGCTTTGGGGACTCACCGAAAAATGCTGACTATCATGAATGAATAGTAAACAACTATACTCGTTCCTTGGCTTGTCCACATAAGATCGGTAACTTTGAGAAAGCAACTTTTTTGCAAGAGCAAATGCGAATATAAATCGGTCATCGAGTATGGTTTGGATTCGCCATAAAGACGATAACCATCGTGACACGTCTCTACTCGATAATTCTCTTCTTACTTATTTGAGTAAAACCTTGACAAATTGACGATTTCACAATCATTCCTTCTTGGCGCTGTTTTCGCGAAGAAATAGATTTATACTCACTTCTAAGCTAAAACCAATAGCCTGTGGATTTGCTTTCCAGACAAATTCCATTGCAAAAAGTCAATCTGATTCCCGCCGCAATCTGTGGGCCAAAACACGTGTGGACCCGTTTGAAACCCGATTTTTGTAGAATCCACTTCAAGGACTGGCTCGTCCTTAAAGGCAATGGATCGGCAGAATGAGTCCCATGGCAAAAGAAGTTGACAGGGTAGGAGCCCCCATAATGGAACTATGGGCCAAAGTAGCATTGCGGCATGCGCGCTCTGACCGTGGCAGTCACTCGTCCATGGGGTGGGCGGGGTCGGAGAGGAGAGGAGATGAGCGCTGCTTTTGCGTTGAAATTTCGGGGGTCAGAAGTGGCAGAGGAAGATCGGACTTTGGCCGATAGGTTCAATTATG